AGAATCAGAAGAGGTTTTGAAGTGGGATCCTTCCCATGAAGAGAGACCAGTCAATAGCCATGGGGAGAGAAGGCAAGAATTTCTCTAAACTTGAAACGATGACTGTTTCTTTGAATCAAGGGGTGAAGCTACCTTAAGAGATGAGGCAGAAAGAAGAAAGAAATATTCTCTGGGTTTCTTCCACCCACCCTGACCCCACCAGCAGTTGGTTGGTTTGTTTGGTTTTGTACTTGCCTTTTTTGAAATTATCTGTGATTTAAAAACACCAACCAACCAACAACCTACAACAAAACAAGAAACAAAACTTCTCAACAAGCCCCCTCTACCAAAACACCCACTTTGTTGCTATGTTCTGTGCAGGTACTGGCTGCAGTGCTGAGTCATTTAGCAGCTGTGTTCTCATTCTCTTCACCCACTCTTGTCACCTCTTGACTACTCCTCTCTGCATAGCCCCTGGCTGTTGTAAGCGGTCCAGGTGTGGCATGGGCAGAGCCTAGATGTGGTTTCTGGCGCTTCCCTCCAGTGCACTCTCCTGAGCAGTTTCCAGTCTGAATGCTTCTGATATTCAACCTTCCAAATTCTCAAACCCATGTAGATCTCCCCTAAATTTTCAGCTGCATGGTTAATCTCAGCTTTAGGAAGGGATAACAGCAAAGAAAGTGGGTGTTTTAGTAGAGGAGGTTAGTTAAGAAGTTTTGTTGAATATGTGCATCATGTTGCTTCAGTCATATAAATAACTTTGCAGTCCTCTATGACATGATGTATTACCATATAATTGCATAGCTAGTTTGGCAGCAAGACTAAATTAATTCCTTAATGTAGAGGTCTGCAAGATACACTAGTCTTTTATGCTGTTGTTCCCTCAATTTGGAAGGTAGCCAGACAAACGATTTGTGATGATAATGGTATAATTGTTCTCTGTCAAATCTTGAATGTTAAAAAGTCCAGCTTGTACTGCAGCCAGACACAGTTGTCACTCTCTTCTATTCCACCAGGTGGGGAAGCTCACTAGTGTGACTGGGAGGAAAGGGCAACGGATGTTAAGCAAACTGCAAAACTGCTCTTGATCAAGAAACCATTTGTTTAAATTGAACAACAAAAGTTTCAAACATAACATGTTATTTTCTAAGGGAGGAAGATGACTTTCACAAACAAAGCAAGCACTGTTTCACAGCCTTCTCCATAACCGTACTTACTATAAACATTGTTGTGGTTTAAGCCCAGCCGGCAACTAATATATAATAATAACATAATAAATAATAGTCTTTCCACCTTTAATTCTATTATTCTGTAATCTATTATTAATATATAAATAATAGCCTTTCCACCTGTAATTCTGAAGGCACTCTTCAAAGATGAGTAAAATCTTTAGCCCTCTTTTATAGATGCAGAAGCAAATAAAGGCTAAGCAGCTTTCTTGAGATACACTATAGATCCATGGTAAAGACAGTGAATCACCCAATTTTGAGTTACAGCTAATGAGACTAGAATCACCATCAGAGGAAAACTGACAAATTCTAAACCTGTGTGGATTTATAGTGAGTGAAAACATGTATCATAAGCACTTCCCAAACTGAAGGGCCTAATTTGATCCCAAGTTAGGTGACAGTACAATATTTGCTTTTGCCGTTTAATTGTGTTTTCTGTTTGATATTGTAATCACTCAAAGAATGTCGTCTGAAAACTTTACTGTGTTGTCTGATAACACATGTGGGGGCTGGGGGCTTATTGAAATTAAAGAGTAAAGGGTTGGCTTTGTTGTTGAGACTGAGTGTTGAGCCAAGCAGCCCTACAAAAGGTCCAATCCCAAAGCTATTCTCCATGTATAAGTGTGGGATTCTGGATTCTGAATTGAAGACATATCAACATTGGTAGGAGCAGATAGGTATGAGGTATCTCTGGTTAACTGTGAATGTAGGATCATTTGCACCAGGCTTTTCTGACCTGGCAGGACCTAAAGCTGCTTTTATGCCTGGTCATCTAGCTATCCTAGCCCAGGATCAGGGCTCTACTAGCTAAAACACAATGTGAAGCTGGTGTGAGTGTTGTGCCAGCTCCGCACATCTATGTAGGCTATCCCTTTGCAGTGTGGCAATACTTAGGGCAACGCTGTCCACAAGGAGCACACAGGTTTATGAATCAAAGTCTTATCCAGGTTTCACTGTCTTGAGAGGAATGCTTAACCTCTGTTATCTCACTTTACTTAGCTGTAGGGATAGACATTATTACAATCATGTAAAGTAGTCCAGTTACACAATTTGAGGATTAAGTGAAGCACTTAGTAATGCATGAAGCAACAGATGATCCATAAAAATGTATTCTTTTGAAATATAATCCTGCCTTTTGATATAGGCTGGCTTAAACTTCAAAAGCCTGGCTCTGAGAAAATGGACCTTAACCCTACTCCTAGACTTTCTGAATGTGTCCTGTTCACTGAAGGTCTGAATCACTTTAGCATCAATCAGCATTCTTCTTGCCTGAATCTTGTTTTCTTGTGCACATCTCAAAAAATGAGAACATGATAGTTAGAGCATGAGAGTTTTAGGTTGTACCAAGGTGAACTCTGTCCTTTCAATCTATTATAATGTTTGGTCTTTCTGACCCCAAATCAAATCTATTTTCTGAAGCATTGCCATGGTGATGCACAACACAGTGTATTGTCTTTGCCAGTGCTTTTAGAGCTTTATTGAAATGTTTTTGAGCTGAAGATGTATATAAAATAATAGTACATTGTGTTGGAGATTGACTTACAATGGGTTGCTATATGAAATACTTAATAGAATCTCTAAAATTATACTAAGAGAAGTTACCAGAAAATTAAAAATACCTAAGTATATAGAGCTGCAAAACCAGACATGAGTGAGTGAGCACAATTGAGCCTCTCTTCCAAAGCACTGCAGGAAGAAATATTTGCTAGCAAATTGAGTAATTGTTTCTGAAAATTGGCAGCTATCTTGTTTCTGGGTAAGCCTTCAGCATTACCTATTCCTAAGAAACTTCTTTGGATTCACAGAGTGCTTACTATTGTGAAACTAATAGATATGTTTTTGATGAATATATTTTTCCATTTGATTTGTAAGAGCAGTAACCTTTAGTCACACACAGACAAGATCATTTTTATTCTAGGCTTAGTCCAGCAAAATTGCTTGATTCAGAGTCTGATATGCACATTGGCTTAATTATTTTTTTCCATTGTGATGAATCTTATGTGATGATCAGATTGTGAAGTTTATTTTGCGTGTGTGGTAAGTTCATCTTAGGTCTGATGAATTTATTTCCCCTCTGTTCCCCCCTTGCTCTTTAAAAAATACTCAGGATTGCTTTTATTGCTTTTCAGAACACCCTTTGTAGCCATCATATTCTATAGATCCCAGAGTCATAGAATCACTTAGGTTGGAAAAGACATTTTAGACTATTGAGTCCAACCATTAACCCAGCACACTGCCAATTCTACCACTAAATTGTGTTCCCAATCTACATGTCTTTTAAATAACTCCTGGGATGGGGACTCCACCGCTTCCTGAGTAGCCTGTTTTCCTGATATGCAATTGTGGAGAATGAAGGTGGAAAGATTTGCATTAAGAACAGTTTGGGAATGAGCTCTGAGGCCTTGGTGCTTTGACAAGCCCTGGGGTGATGAGTTGGGGTGTTGAAGGCCAGAGGATGTGCGGGTTGTGAGAGGGTCTGTAGCATTGTGATTGGACTATTTACCTGGAGAGTTTTACAGGGGCCAATGAGATTGAACATCGTATGCATGTGCAGGTTGGGAAAGTACCGAACAGCGAGATAAAAAGGGCTTGGTTGTAATAAATTGGGATTTGAGTCTCTGCATCAACTTGAGTCCATGTCATGAAATGCCACATGCAATCAGGTGCCACTTGAGGGAAGTAGGTTCTATGATTCTAATTATTTACTGCTTCAGATACTGGAAGTTATTTCTGTTTGAATTGTAATATGTCCAAATTATTATTTTGATTAAGTTGATGAGTTCATGCTCATTTATCTCCATTCTCATTTCATTGAGAAACCTTTTAATCTACAGAGATGTCCCACTCCGAGAAGCCTCCTGTTCAAATTCAAGCAATACAGTCCTATTTTTTGCAAGAGCAGTTACTGGAAACTTGGAGGTGGAAGAGAATGGGGCAGGATGTTTTAGGTCATAAGACTGAACCTCCCAAGTGTGTTTGGGCATTACTCAAGAAGTTAATATGAATCACTGCAAATCAGTTCAGCTTTGCATCCAGAAGTCCAATAAATGGGCTGAGCTAGCAGACCTAAACTTGCTTGTGGTAACCCTGAGTCACCCTGAGTAGCTGTCTTCTTCCAGCAGGTCCTACTAAACCTGGAAAAGGTCTTTTCCAAGGATTTTTATTTTCCATTATGAGACATTTCCTGAGACTGATATTCTGCTAGTTGGTAACCACTATGTCTCCTGTGTACTCTGTGGCTGTAGGCTATCTTCTCCCACAGGAGGACCCATGCCTACTGCAGGGGGATTGCACCATTTTCCAGGAAAACCAGTCTTTGTTTCTGGCTTCCTCATGCTTGAACGCTTGAAGCTGTGCACTAGCTCTAGCTCCCCATCCCTTTGCAGTCTGGGTACAATGCAGAGTAATTTAATTAAGGATGCTCTGTGGGGAAAAGAGAAGGCTGCAGCAGCCGGGGGACAGCACATAAAAGCAGAGCATCAGCTGCAGCTAAACAATCAATTGTATTACAAAGAGAATAACTGTGGGATGCCGTGGCAAGTTGGAAAAAAGGCATTTTATACAACCTCACGTGGATCCCAGGTTATGCTCAGAATGAGGGCACAGAACGTTCCTTTATGAGCTATGTGAGTGTTGTATCTTTGTTTATTGCTTCATTTTTTTAACTGGACCATGACATTTCTGAACTTGTGCCTTTTCCTTTTTTTTCCCTTATTAATACTGCAAAATATTTAAACAGTATCTAGCATTGCTTTTGAAAGTTTTGCTGATAACTTTTGTTGCTTTTAGCAGGATTGGTCAGCCTCAGGAGGGAAAAAAGGATGGTCTTGTCATTTCTGTGTGAATTTAGAAATTACAGGGCTCCTGTCAAAGAATCCACAGGTCTGTTTAGGGATCTAAGTTTTCCACATGCTGTATAAGGACTTTTGCTATCTTGCCAGCAGGAGCCAGGATCTTGGATGCAGAACCATCTTGAAGGAAAACTCAGGTAGGAGTGCCCAGATGTGTACATATGTTCCACCTTGGCATGTATTAACTTCTTTTCTTTCTAAGGCTTTTATCTCTGTGTGTGGCACAGGGTAGAGGGTCAGACAATTAACAAGTCTCTGTTTTATTACTTCACTTTTTGCGTAAAACTTCCTAATTCCCCAATGATTTTAGGGTGAGAAAGAACCTCATAACTTCACCTTGGTTTCAAATGGGCAGGTCACAAAGGTCCCCATTCTTCTCCCAAACTTGCTGTGGCGCTATCAGGGCAACTATAATTGCGTTGATGTTGGTCGAAAGAAACCTACTTCTCCAGAAACTCCAAGAGTTTCTCCATTGCAATAGGAATTTTGAGACTGTCGTGGTGCTTAAACTGTTTTAAAAGTGAAGTACTGCTTGGTCTTAAAGGATCTGGCTTAAAAAAGTATAAATCCAAACTCATTCTAATGTTAATTGCACTGAACTATGTACCAGGCTAATTGCAAAGCTTTTAGCTATGTTGGTTATCCATGCTCTCCCTACTTCCTTGTCCAGAAGTCCCAAATTACATATAATGGAAAAAATTAAAGCATTAAATGGTTACTGCAAGTGGCTTAGATTGCAGTCTGCCATAACATCTACGTCATCAGCACAGGAAACAAAAAGTGTTATTGTCTGGAATGTTTCCATTCCTCTAAAAGACATCAGGAAGGCTTACCTTTTGACTTTTACGTAATAAATTGCTTATCTTTAAATGCTAAAAAACAGAAAAAGGGTTTTTTCTTACAATGTATTTGTGTTTCTGAAAGCCATCGGAAAGCTGTAATTAAGGATTGCAGATTAGATAGTAAAAAGCCTGAACAACATAACAGAAAGTCCTCAGTTTTGGTGGCTAACATTTTAAGTACCATGACTTAATAAAGTAAGGAGATAACACTGTAGTGTCACTTTACGGTGATAGGGCATGTCACTGGAAGAGAACACGTACAAGGACTCCTCCTTGTTCCCTAAGTCCTCAAAGGAGGGGACTCACATAATTGACAAAGCCACAAAGCTATTTTATTGTTGAGGTGTCTGCTGATGCAAGAGAAACTGGAAGGTTTTCAGAGCAACAGGAAACACGTAACCACCTCTCCTTTTCTTTGGTTAAGAATGTCTTGCATGCTGCTCAGATGCAGTCTGCAAAATAGGTCCAAACACATTCCAGAGCTCCACCAAAACCGAGCTCTGGCACAGCTTGGACGAGGTCATCCAGAGCTAGTTGCTGGAATATCTTCAATGTATTTTATTTTATTGGGCACCTTGAGTGTCCACCTGATTTTCTTGTTGTGCAGGTCAATTAGTTGTGCTGTTTTTCTGGGACTGTAGCAAACCAGAAATGTTCGTTAGTGGGTTATATTCAAAGATGATAGAAGCATCCTCAGCACCTGTCAGTGAGAACAGTCCCTGTTGGAAGTCTGTGCTTGACTGACTGTGTTAGCATAGCCAGAATGGATGTATTAATGGTGCTCAGCAGGTATCCGAAAACAAGTTTTCCTTGAAAACACTGCTGTATGATGTCCTTCAATTACCTCCTACTGCTGACATTGCTGGGAGAAAGATCTCTTCCGGTGGTTGTCGAGGTGTTAAAAGCAAACAAACACTCCAGGATTTTGCTTCAGCAGGTCCTAGAAAAGAAGTGAGACAAGTCTTCATGGTTCTTTGAATTTTTTGCCTCTCTTGACTATTCTACTCTGTAGATATGTCCTGAAGCACAGAAATATCTTCATAAAATATTAATTTATCCCCTGGATGACAAGGAAACAGAGTGAGAATAAAGGGAAGCATTAAGAAGTCTAATACAAATATGTGGTTTTCATGCTCGCTCATGATATGTGTCCTGCTACTGTATAAGTCCTGATACAAAACTGCTGGTCTTTGACATGAGCTGCACAGTATCATGATGTCAGTTTTGACATGAGATGCACCATCAGTGATAGACTGGGAACAGTTGTGCTTTCCAATAGGACACAACCCATTGGAACCACAGCTGCCAGGGTGGAGCTTATGATGTCAAAGGTAATCAAAAGCATTGCAAAGGGGCAGTAAACTGCTTAATTCTTCAGTTTCAGAAGAGGCTTGAGAGGCCTGTTGCTTTGTGCCTCTCCACTTGCTATAGTTACTGCAAATCTTCTGCAGCTTATTTTCAAATGAGCTGGCTTGACCCCTTATGGAAAAGGCTGATAATCAAATAGGGCTGATCTTTAACTTATCAATCAACCAAACAATGTCATTAGGACATAAAAAATGCATTGTAGCTTTTGCATTTGTTGTGAAACAGCAGTTGGAACGAGGTATTGAGAAAAACAGGTCCCAGAACATATTAAGCATGAAATATTCACCACCTATGACACAGGCCTTCCTCTCTTAAATTACCAGTGTCCTGAAGGTCAGATCCTGCACACCCAGTTGACAGTTCTGCTGTTCTCCTCATGCTACACTGTTCTCAGGCATTCATTACTTCTTGGTAGCAGTAATCACAAAGTCCTTCTGCATTGTCTATTTTAAAAAGTGTCATGTAACTTGGGGGACGGTGCAGTCTGCTTTTGTCTACAGAAATGGCAGGATCTTTCCAGTCTTTCTTCCTTTAATTACCTTGGAGAAAAAAAATTCCATCCAAGTGCATTATGGCAAACCTTTAAGTGACAGCACCTCCAAGACTGGCGCAGTCTGAGTACACTGCAGTCAGCTTGGATAACCTCTTCCCGTTGTTCAGTAACAAAACCTTTAGCCTCATGTCTGGGTTTTTCTTTGCTTTGCAGGAGAACCCCAGGGAGAAGATGATCATCTATTGTAAAAAAGTCACACCTTTTCTATCAGGAACACTAGAAATAGAAGCACGAATCTGGAATTATGGCAGCATGTTATAAACAAGAACAGCCAGGGGGCAACCAATGCACAAATCTTTGCTTCACGAAAAAACTACAGGAAAGGTACAGTTGGTATCAACCCAGAGAGTAAAAGCTGCATGAAAAGAAACTACTGATGGGTGTAAGAAATGCTGATGCATTGAAGATGTCTTTGCTCTTACTTGTTCTCCATGAACACTTCTTTCCACACACTTGGCCATCAACTGCAGGCAGTTTAGTTTTATTCTGAGAAAGTGGTTGCAGATGCATTTTATCAGCCAAATTCAGAAGAGTCTTTAGAGGAATGGGCCACCTGTACTGCTGTTGTGTCTTCTAGTTGGTCCCACTCCCACTGCTGAACAAGAACTACCTTGTTGAACAAGATTCTTCAGCAAGGGGATGGAGAGGCCCTTGACAGCCAGGTACAAAAGCACTGACCATGATAATTTTTCCATAGAGGATTTTTGATCATTAGGAAAAATCCTAATGATTCCCTCAATTAATAATTCACCCTATTGGGATTAGGAGACATTTTCAAGTGTTTCTGTTACTGTTGTTGAAGGTTATTTGGAGATCTGAAGATGGCCAGTGTAATGAGTCAGAGCTTGAAGCATTTACTTATAGAGAATAAAAACCTGCCAGTATGTCACAGTATGGTGTCAAGAAAGCCTTTTGTGTTTTGTTTTAATAAGAAACTTCTCTAATTGTCATTTAATGTACACTGTTGCATCCAGTGATAATCTTTTTCCACTTGAGCAACCTTCCCAATTTGGTATCTATTTAAAACTGAGTTTTTTGTCAAAGTTGAATTCATGATGTCTTCATAACCTTCCTCCCTTGAAAGGAAGTAATTATTCAACCAAAAAATATATATACACTTTGGTTATTATGTCAATATGCCCACTTCCTGCTGAGTATTAAACTGTACTATTTCTAGGGGCTGGACTGGGAATATGATTAATAACAGGTTCTGATACAGAAGACAGCAAGTCAAGGCAGGGTAATAGTGATTTTTCATCTGAATCACAGACAAATTGGCTGTTTTGCAATACTTGTCTATGGCAATTACATGTTGTTTTGCTTCCTAATGCTGATTTCCTTCCACAGTTTATTAGCATGAATGTCAGGGAAACGCTAGCATATTGTTTTTGTCTATAAACACTTCTGGCCAGGTGGAGAAGGCAGCCCTGTCTGAACTGCTGATTAGATCTGTTTGAATTCAGGCACTCCTGCAGGACAGTGCTTTTGCTGAGTGCCTCTGATCATGCCCGTGCTGTGGCACAGCAAGCTGCTCTCAGCATCAACCTGCTTGTGGTGGCCATCTGCGAACGGCGTGATATGTAAGGATCTGGGGAAAAGACGTGCAAACCTTCTGCAAGATGTAATGTGTACCAAAAGCCACATCATGTTCTCTGGCTTGCACAACTCCCCATGCTGAGCTTAAACTGCAGGTTTGTGCTCTGCCATGGAGCGGTGCCAAGCTGCTTGAAATGCTTCTCACTTCTTTTGTTATTTCCAAAAAGGATGTGGAGCTCTCCAGAAATGCTGACCTGCTGAGTTAGATTTACAGACTTTGGCTGGATTTGCTCAGGGGGCACTCAGCAGTTCACATTTTGTGGTGCTTATGGTTAAAATCGTATACTCTTCCAGAACCCAATGTTCCCAGCAATTTGAAGAAATTTGGCCCCGGCATGCCTTTAAAATAAAAAAAGGAATTGGTTTTGTTTTCCAATTTCTGCCATACAGAACAGTTGTATTTTGTAGCTCCACAACATAGGATGATAAAAATTGAAACAACAGTTGGATTAAGTTGACAGAGGGTGTAGAAAAGAACCATTTTGATTCAAGCTTCCCACAAGAAGTAGGTAGTGCTAATCTTCGTAAGTAAATTGTAGATTGCTTTGTGCCAGTTTGTCTTAAAATGCCGATGGCAAATCTGTGGATCTCATTTATTTTGCACATTTTAATTCAAACTAGCTAGATGTAAGACGGGCAGCAGAACACGGAGTGCTTAAATTCTTACTCAAAGAACACAAACAAATAATAAATGCAAAGAACAAACATGACAGCAGAACCCAGTTAATTCCAGATTTTCTATGAATTGTCAGTGGTTGATTCAAAGTGTGCCTGCATAAGGAGAATGAGTGTATGGCTTGTACATATACATGTATAAATGCACAGATATAGATGTAAATATATATATGTAACTCATGATGATGGGAAAGTTCTTCAGAAACAGCTATTTTTTACTGTGAGCTACTGATTGTAGGATGTTAAAGTACACATTTTAGCTACTTAGGTAGCATGAATGTACAGCCAGTGTGGGTCAGAGGTGCTGATACAATGAGCAAGGTGCTATTGGATTCACAGTGTAAACAAAATTTTTGAACATGGATTTGTTACATTAACGTGGTTGTGTTAAGCAATACTTTTTGAACAATGATATATTTTGCAATGACAGTTTCTCATTAAGATATGGCTTGTTTCTAGACTTTTCCTCCCCTACAGAAATTACGTTTTTGCTCTTAACACAAGTGGTGGTTTTGATCGTGGAGAGCTTTCACTCGCTGCTTACAGAGCAGTCTTAATGTACTTATCTCTTCAAGAAAAATAATGTCAAAACCTTGTGTTACGTGTTCTGCTCTTGCCAACTCCCAATAACAAGGAAGTGGGTAGTATATCAGTGAACTGATTTTCTAAACAGCAGTATTTGTGCATATGCCTAGGCAGCTATTAGGCAGCTATTTGCCTTTTCTGATTAGTAATTATGCAACAAATTGGGAGTAACTGTCACATTAGAAGTAAAATATTACTTCAGTGTTTCAGAATAATTTTTAATTAAGCAGAACTACCAAAGGGGCAGCATTTAAGAAAACAAACCACAAAACCATCACCGAGCTCCAGCTATCCCTGAAAATTCTGCTCCCTGGGCTATCTCTTGGCTGTTATAATCTGGAAAATACTGTTCCCTGAATTAAACATCCTCCCTGACAACTTTGCTAGCTTCAGTATTTGACATTAATTAAGAAATGGTCTCCTACATCTTTTCTGATCTCTTCCTTAAGCTTTACAGAACCATCAAAGATGCAAACAGGAGTGTGTTTTTGTGGCTAAATAAGAAATCATGTTCATTTAGGAGGGGAGCAGCAGCAGGGAAATATGCAAAAGATACTTCTGCTCATGCTAACCATTAAACAGCATTCTGGTCTGTAAGCCAGCAGCAAGGGAAAAACAAAGCCTCATACTCTAGCCTTCTTTAAGAAAAGCAAACCAGAAATGTCTGGTACAATATTCAATACCTCTTCATATATTGCTTTTCAGATAATAATTTGATTTTGAATATTTCTTGTATATTTGGAGTGTCAGTAATTTCACTGCTCTTAGATTCTGGTAAGGAGCTGCACTTAGATAAAAAAATTATATTTAAAATCCAGCAAATCTTAGAAATAATTAGCTCCATTTTGATTACCCTGTCAGTCAGAGACAGCATGGATTTTCACTGTGCATGTGTTATCATATGGAATTTAGATTGTGGGTATTTCACACTAAGTAACAGTTATTTGGCCTTGGTTGCCTTAAATGTCAGTATTGTGTAGTTGGCTTTAAGTTTTAAAGGGTATTATTAGCTCATCATTTAACCTTTAAAAGTACAGTAAGGTTTTAGCTAACAAAAATTGAGAATACCTACAAATACAGGCCAAAGCTACAGGGCAAAGTTTTCATGTGCCTCTTGAAGGTTTCCTCTTTCTGTCCCTTTGGACTCAGCAGAGGTTAGGACTACTTCCCATCAAATCTGGATAAAATGATGTAAACTCTTATTGTTAGCAGAACTGCATGGAGGCAAGTGTTCCCTTGTCTCTTTTGCATGATTGCCTTTGGAAATACATGAGCCTGTTCAGTGTATCTGGCATGGTTTTTTGTCAGCCAGCAAAGAAGGTATTTTAATACAAGAGAAAAAAAAACTTTGCATGGTGACATGTCAGCTCCTAGTGACACTACACAATAAATAATCAGAGGTGGTAGACATCTAATCTAAAACAGTTTAATATTATTTGAGGTGAGAGGAGAAAATGATGTATTCAAGCTCTGAGAACATCAAGTTTTTCTACGTGGTGAATTCATTTCCAAAAAGAATATTTAGTAACTTATGTGTGCCCCATCTGATTCCATGTACATGTGATTTTCTTTCAACAGATTTGTAACTAAGTATGTATAGAAATTTTGGGGGAAAAAAAGAAAGAAAAAGAAATACAATGTTTTATCTTCATAGGAAGTCACTGCCTCATTGCTTTTGTTTCCAATGTCATCCTCATTTCTTCTAGCTTTTGATTTAAAATTTAGGTTTTCATAGTTATTAACTTTGTAACAGAATTTATGACATCTCTGGTTTATAATTTTAAGATACTTTTTTGACAACAAAAGAATATTTGCATTTTAGGCAATAACAATGTGATAGAATTATCAAATTGCATGCTAGATCATCCATAATGAGACTAAATTATATGCATCAGTACTGGAAACAACGTTTGCATTGTTATTACACTCACAAGTCAGCTTGTGTATGCTTTCAGTTGTATATGCCTGTATGATATTTTGGTTTCAACTCAGCTTGCTTGGCCAAAAGAAAAAAGCCTATGCTTTCAGATCTACATACAATTAGCAGGAGAGAACAATCATTCAATAGTAAAAGCTTTTTACTACTGCAATATGCAACTGTCACAAATTCTTGCTGCAGTTTTTCTGCTTCATCTAGTCTGATTTTAGTCAATGGGAACTTCTTTGATATCATAAATAATTCAATATGATCTCTTAGTGACTAACTGCATTTACCTAAGTAGATTTAGAACGTCCTCTCCACTGTATATATCAGCCTGTATGAAATTTCTCAGTTACTCCTGTGCATGAGCCTGCTTTTTCTGGGCACAAATGCCATACCAGCACATGAACTCTAGTCACACAGTCATAGGTTTATTTATGAAATGGCAGGTTTATGTCAGTTGTATACATGGATTATTGATTTGTTTTTTCCTTAGACCACATTCTGTGAAGTTCCCATTTGCTACGCATGGCATTAAACAGGTCATCAGGGTAAAATAGTACTTAGGAAATGGGGCGAATTATTTGTCCAGCTATCATTTGAGTAACAATAGCCATCAGTACAGAGAGAAGGGTAATAGCTGAGACTGCATTTGCTGCATAGAGCTAAAAACACTGTGGCATGGCCAG